ACCGGTCGTGTAGGTGAATGGTTGGCCGTCATGCGACCTGCCCGTTTCATGGGGCCCTGGTGCTGAACATGCAGAAACCTGGGGTTCTTCCATCAGCGGTTTCTTCGCCATATCAGCGGTGGGTCTCAAAATCGCATGCCTCAATGAATGCTCCTTGCATGAAAGAGTATAGCTCTTGCAAGAGTACCTCCTTTCTTGCTACTAGTAGCGATGGCCTCCAAGCTAATAGCGATGGCGACCAACCTCCTAGCTTCTAGCTACTAGTAGCTTCTAGTAGAGTAGCTTCTTGCTCCTAGTCCTTCCTTGCATGAATGTACTTCTCCGCATCTCTTTCCGCCGCCGGCGGAGGGGAACCCTGTGGGGTCGTCGGTCGGTCGAATTCACGCCACGGCACGGTTCCACGCACCTGGCATGGGGTCCACCTGGCACCTGTTGTGCGGTTCCGCAGCTTCAAAGGAGTGGTCCAAACGGGAATCGGTAGATATCAAAGCAAGTGAAGGAGCTTGACAACAGCAGTGCCTCCGTGTCAACAGCAGTGCCTCGAGCTACGTGCAATCAAAGCACTGCACAAATAAAGCTTCATGGACTTTGATTCACCTGCAAAGCTCGATAATGTCCAGTTAACTGCTTCATGGACATGATCGATTAATTTGCACCTGCACAGTCAATGCACCTTTCTGACTTGTGATACTGCCCGTTGGATTACGACGAGAAACCGCAAGGTCTTTTCAAGGCTCTTGATCTGGAGCTACCAATTCATTGAGCTGCAGCCACAGCTTGTCTTTCACGAAAGAACCATCCAACTCAGTATCTTTTTGCGGAGCTTCTACCTCTATTTTTTGCCGGTGGTTGCAAGAACGAAACTACAAATCAACTTGTTCTAGTATACCTCCTGCGGGAGTTCGGATCCAAATTTGTGTGGCTTTGCGTTGCTACGGCTGCCCATTTTTGAGCACAGCCAGTGAATCACCCGAACATCATCCAACATCTTGCTTCCTTGTCCACGAAACAAGCGTTCTGCTGCGTGCTTCTCGCAAAAGCACTTCAACCCGAGAAACAATATGTAAACAACCATCAACAATCACTCTACCACCAACCACAATACCCAAACACTCCATGTATGCCATATATGCATACATTGACCCCGCAAACCACCCCAACTGATCGGCCTATATGGCATACATGGAATGTCTGGGATACATAAAAACAAGCTCCCAAAATCTTGCGCCAAAAAATACGGCGCTCGCTCGTCACCCGTACGATGAGCGGCTGGAGCCTGCCCGTACGATGAGCAGCCAGGACCAACACCATCTTTGGCCTCAAAAAGAAACGGGTTCAAAAGCAGTACGCTGGAGTTCGCTTGGAGAGGGTGCGCCAATATTCACCAATAGAAGCCATACAAGTCCCAGCTATAGGATCGTTGGAGGTCATTGGAGATGGTGAGCCGCTTAAGACATGGATGGCCAGCTTGCTAGGAGGCAGAAGATGAGGACTTCCTCTATTTTTCGGGTGGTCAGGTTACGGCAGGTATACTGGCATCGGCATGCTGGGGATGCTTTCCATTCCCAGACACGACCTGTTTGGGACCGGTGGTTGAAAAGGGGTCAATGTAGGCATATCTACCAGTCCCATGGTGTCTAGCGGATATATTTAGTAGCCTGAATCCCGAACAGCCATTAGTCTTTACTAAGAGTTTTACACTAAACCAGATCTACCCCAATGCTCGACTTCCAGGGACCTTTTCTTGTTAACCCCGGAACAGTACGGCTGTGCTGGGCCAAATCATCAGGCCCTCACGTACACGCCCGCAGTCACAACTTCACGGCCCGATGCGAAGAGTCTGTCGGTGGGCTCAGACCATCCATACAAGACCGGCCGAACGGTTTACCTCGAGCTTCTTGGGCTGAAAGTTCTGCCCATTACCCAAACACTCCATGTATCTCATATATGCCGATCAGTTCGGGTGGTTTTGGGGGTCAATGTAAGCATATATGGCATACATGGAGTGTCTGGGTTATGGATAACCGGATGATAAAAGGTGCCCGAAAGTCCGTGATTAGGCGTTCTTGTCTTCTGGGATCCACTGACTCCACTGGTTCCAGGAATTGAAACTAGTGATGAAAGTCATGATTGTATATCAGGAATTCACTTGATGCTTCACTTGCAAGTTGTTTAGTGTTTCTACGCATTGATTCATTGCGTTAATACCTGTTTGCATCTTTTTGCGTAGGCGTTCCTACCCGTGATAACTTAGGCGTTCTTGCCCGTTACTTGGGCATTCTTATCCATTCCCCCTCGCTACAATCAGTAGTTGGGTGGATGAAGGGATGGTAGCCTTTGGGGGGAAGTGAGGGATATGAGTTTCAAATACTTTAGATCGGGGACTAGCATCAGGTGACAAGCCTGAATGAAATGAGGGGAATATAATTATGCCTATTCTAAGAATCTGAGCCCTCAATGGTAAGGGTTTGGTTCGGGTCCGGACCCCTGCGTTCGGTGTTGGGAGCAGTTCCAAAGAGAAGGTCCAGTTCGACTATCTATTTGAACACCACCCACAAGGACATTCCTGAAATCGGATCACCCTCCAGCAACTGACTTAGGGACTAAACACCACTCACTTGGCGCACTTGGTGCATTGACCCCCAGGTCCACGTGTCGCCCCACACTCTTGGGTCGGGTCTGATACGGGGGCAAAAGCCACCAGGGAGCCGTGTTGAACACAGAAATTCATAGCTGGTACTGGTTTTCACCATGGAATTGGAGGAATCCAGTCATTTCTCCAATCTTTTCTACAATTCAATGAGGGTGAGAAATGGATCTGTGGATGTTGCAAGGGACATCAGCCAGCCAATGGATTCAGGGCTTTTTCCCGCCCACGACAGTGACATCCCCCTAAAGAGTTACCTGCGCCCGAAGAAACGGTGGAAGTCCATAATCTTCCAGACATTTTGCCTACCCTTCTTCTGGGGACATGGACCATGTATAGTGGCAGAATCTGGTAGAAGGCTCCGCGTGTAGGCCTGGAGAAACCCCCCAAACGTCGACCTGTTTGAAGCAAAAACCTGGCAGAAATCCACATCCCCAAACTTTCAGGCATTGAAAAACCCATCCAAGTCCCTAGGGTTCCAGTCGTAGCTTCGTTTCAAAGGTGTGAGACGGGTGGGTTCGGGTGCAGTCATACCTTCGGAGGTACGACTGGAGCCCTATACCAGGAGCCTTCGTTTTCGGGGTGTCCTGGCCGGACTACCCCACACTACCTATACGCTTCCAGACAGGGCACCCCGACAGGAGGGTCCTGGTATAGGGAGTGTTTTTTTTGGGTGTCTTTTTCAAGCACCTTTTGATCGATCCCCTACGTCGGACTTCCCCGTCCAACGTCCTCCGACCCCCGTCCTCCGACCCCTCCCACCCGGTCCCGCAGCACCTCCATCCGTCCGGCCGAGATGCGTGGGAGACGGCGTGGAGGCGGCCCGCCGCCCGGCATGGCTTTTTGAGGCTCCGGTGGAGAAGAACCACGTGGTTTTTAAGACTGAGCCCCCAAGAGCCTCCGGAGCTCCGAAGACCACGCGGACGCGGTCAGCCTTTTTTCGTTCGGATCTGCTATTAAAGGGATCCATACCGGTTTAGCAGTAGCATGAGTAAATCCCTTATGCACCAAAGGGGGTTTTAAGGGTCGACGAGTATACCAAAGAGACGAAAGAGAGAGATATGGGACAATGAAGGCTTTTGGAGCTCGGGGGAATCTATAGAAGAATTCATGCATGATCTAAATCCTGTCAATTAGCGAATGCACTTGCATCACACGCAGCTCTTCCAAAACTATAGGTTCGGCAACAACATTCGCGCTGGCGAATGTCGCATATTCTGGGATCATCGTCTACGGAGTCCGCAGACATTGAAAGATAGACTGTTTTACAGCAATCATCGAAGTGGATGACATTCCGGTTTTGGGAAGCTGATTGAATTTGCAGCTGCAATCGCATGGTCTTGAGTCTTGCGAACATCACTCAATGATACTCAATGAATCCTTATCTTTCGGTCCTCGTGTCCACTTCTTGATCATCTCGTCACAAACAGATCTGATTGGCTGAAGTAGGAGGTGTGGAAGTCTTTTCACTCCCGCTTTGCGCCTACAAGCGGTCAACCAGTTGCACACCGGATGGAGAAGAACATGGGTTTCGCTGCCGATTTTTCTCTACGACGAGTTTCCAGTTTCCCAGACACGACACATGGGACTGCCATATGCCGATCAGTTGGGGTGGTTTTGGGGTAACATATATAGCAGTCCCATGGAGTGTCTGGGTTTGGGATCATGGCGGGATTGAGGCTAATCCTCCAATCGGCATCTCAGGGGGGACTGGGAAAAGAGGATCGACGTTGCTAAGGGGCAGAATCCTACACCCACCACGAGACCCACACAAGATGGGCACAAAAAAAAGTACATCACATGGGCACAATGTTCGGAAACATGGAGAATTTCCGGACCCTGGCAAATTGATTGCTCCCAGAATCTCCCAGATCTCTTTTCTGATTATCACACATTGATTGGACGCCCAGATCTCTTCTCCCAATCACTGCGGAGGTTGCTAAAGGGTGAACCGTCCACCCATGCAACCGGTTGAGAAGATCACCACCCAGTGGAGCTCACGTCGTCCCCAGTTGAGCGAAAAGGGGAGGGACGAGATACACAGAGTCTCAGAGTCAAAAGAATCTTAGAAGGTGTTTGGGAAGGATTTAGAGGGTCCAAATACCGTCTGGAGGTACTTGGAGCCCTAGGCTGAGTCTCAGAGGCAAAGAATCGTGCATTTTCGTGTATGTTCGTCGATTTCTTGTGTTCGTGCCAAGCATCTGTCTGGCTTTGATCTATCATAGCTGTATCCAAGCACAAAGATACGTACTCGGTTGTGCCAATCCGAATCCACAATTCGGGCGATCTTTGGTCCCAAATCCACCCCACCCCACCCACCCAACCAACCCACCCACCCAGCCAACCAACCAACCAACCAGATTGGATCCTTCTTTTCCAGGACATTGCCTGGCCAGGACATTGCGTGCGTGCTCCACAGCTCTGAACGAAGAACGTGGAGCCAAGGAGTCAAAGTCCGGCTGTGTTTCGCTCGGAAGGTAAAACATTCTTATGTCGAGACGGGTCGTACTTTGCGACCGCGGAATGGCTTGGTCAAGCTGTAGTGAAACTCTAGACTCTAGCCAATCCCAAGATCGATCTGTACCAAAAAAAAGCAGTGTCTCTCATTATGATCCCTCATGTCAAATCACTGAATATGATTACGGTACGATCTATACAGGTTACATCAGGTTGCCTTAAGACTTCGACCTTAGAACCGCCAGATGATCACCACATCTGGTAGATCTACATTGGATGAAAATCGCTCATCCCACGAACCGTTCGTCGATTCCTCAAACCACCTGATTGTTGCTTTCGGATGGGTGATTGCCTTCGACAGCCACCGCCGGGCCCACCACCTGCGCTTGCACCACAGGCAACGCAGCGGGCGCGGCGGATGCAGTGCGGTTGGCCGCGGAACTCATCTTCGCCCGGCGAAGAATGAAGACCTTCCTCGGTGTTCAAGGAGCGGAGCGCCGCGGCGTTCGACGAAACCCTGCGCGAGTGTCACAGGATGGGTTTTTTTCGCGCGCGACGCACGGATCGTTTGAACACTCGGCACTGACAAGGAATCTGGAAAGGAACCCCTATTAGCGTCCGATCGCTCCGTTCGTAGCAATGAATCTGGCCAAGGAATCGATGAATTTGGGGGGATCCCAAATTCTCCCGCATGCCCTGGGAGTCACCCCAGTCACACCAGGTCAATTATTTGGAGAATATAGCGTGAACTTTCTGAGACTATGCGTGACCCTAAACCCTCAGGATCGTGTTTATACCCTCCTGGCAAACACCAAACCGGCTCCGAGCACGAGCACTTTCAACCGACCCGGGCACTTGCCACCATATCGGTACCATCTTTGGGCACTTCTGGGCACCCCAAAATCCCCGGTCTTCGACATCAGTGCGACAAGAGATAGATCCCAATGGACCCCTGCCGCAGCAAGCATCAAGGCCGCATCAAGCAGCTCGACGGTTTTTTTGGGGGGACAACTCAACACGTTTTTGGCCAGAAGATGCCAGAAGGTTCTGTATTTATCACACTTGTTCGATACCTCTTCTCATCTCTCCGCCTTTGCCATCCTTTGTCCAAAAAGGTGGGCCCTAGTCTGACTTTGTGTACTCTGACCGGACTTTGAGACTTGGTGTACTCTGACCTCTTGATCCAGCGGTTTTCGCTCGCGCGTGACTCTTCAGGGGACGCGGTTTTCGTCCGAGCATATGAGCCGTTTGTCAGTGCCACTGGAGAGCTCAAACTTGAGCCGTTGGAGCCGTTGCAGTCCGAGCAGTACTGTGGTGGGTGAGGACTGCTGAGAGAGTTGGTTGATCAAACATTTGGCCGATTCGTGCGGGAGTGAGAGTTTGGGAGCGAGAGTCTGTGCCTCACAGCTTCGGAGCTGATTTGATGCAACCTATCAAAAACTCAGCTCCCGGTCGTTTGCGGAACACCAACATCAACAACGAAGTGGTGGTGGTGATGAAAGCTGCCGAGCTTCCAGAGAGTGCTTGGCATCGCCACAAGCAAGAGAACCACGCCAATGGCCAACACGACATCCATGTACTGCCAAAAGTCCAGTTCTTGCCTCAGCTCTGCTCCCCAAAGATTCCCATCTTCCCTTTGAGGCTTAGTTGAAGAATGTGTCCATCCTTGAAATGTATCATGTGACAAGAACATGCTGTGTACAAGAACATCGTTGATGATTTGCTTTGATTTGGGGGGTGCATACATCAGTCTGTGGGTTCCAACCCTACCCCCTGCTTTAGTTTCAGTACCAATTGAGACCAACCTGTTAGGGTCCTACAACCCTCAACTAACAGCCTGGCCAGGAGGGTGCTGGTATAAGTGAATCCTGAACATATAAAAAAAAACTCTTGTGAAGATACTTTGCATCTATGGATCAAACAAAAAAACAACTTGCAGAACATGTTCTGCCCGGGATGAGACAGCATACAGTTCTACCTCTAAAGCGTTCCTAAAAAGATACCATTCATGGGCAAACTCCCGGTTGCAGGGTCGTGACATGTACTCCGGTTGTGTTACAAGCAACGACTGATCATGATCGTTCCCTTTTTGAAGTGTGCAGGAAAATACGGTCTGGCTTGGCCACATACAGTAGCTTGTGTTACTTGTAGTCTTGTCATGGGAGGGAAACCACCGCAGCAGGAAGGTCGTCTTGTCTGTGTTCCACATGTGGATGCTAGAACACATTCCAGAATTGTTCACAGCCTTTATGCTAGATGATGCTAGATGATTTGTGTCAGAACACATACCCAAATAAAAGCCATCACAAATGTCAGAGCCAAATGTGTCAGTGCACATGTCAGGCAGCAGTTGTCAGCTTAGTCTGCCGTTGTTGAGGAACACGGAACACGCAAAGATCCCTTCAATTCACACCACGCGACAGAAATGGAAATTCGTTGTAGAGTTCCTCATTCATATTCACCGAGTGGTGGAAGTTGGCCGGAATCACGGAGACCACCACGGCCAAATAGAAGGGCACATCCAACAAATGAAAGCACGTGCAAGGGCAAGGGCACTTCACATCCTTACTGCGCGTGTTTGCTGCTGGGAACAAGGCAAACACACGAAACCTACTCCACACTACACGTGGAGATGTGCGACCTCCAGAATTGACAGAAAGGTGAAATTTTGGGTGAGCATGTCATGTAGCGACAATCGTCTATCCACATGCCCACAGCACAGGTGCATAGAGAAAGAGTCACTTGCTGGTTGGTGAACAAGAAGAATTTACAGTAGTAAAACAAAAACAAACAAAACACGCAAGCTTTGCTTTTTATCCAGGCAAATCAAGAACCCCCCGCTTCAACAAGGTCCCAATCGTCTTGCAATGGTCTCCCCCTTGGATGGTAGAATTGTCCTGCAGACGTTCTCTTGCAAGACATGGTTATTGGGAAAGTCTTTCGACCTTCGAGAACGGTGGGCAGCTTCGCCGCTGCACCGGCCGATCGTGAGCTGTCTGCTTTGTAGCCGCCGAGAAGCATGCTTCGGACGGTCTGACCCGTCTGAGGGACTTATCATCTCCACCGGGCGTTCGGGAGATGATGTGTGTTGCAATACTAAGCAGGGCCCATCTGGCTGGTCCAACTAAGCAGGTCTCATCCCTATAAAACCGCCCACGTATCCCCACGTATCGCGTGCCACGTATCCATCGCATGGGTGTTTGCTCGGAACCCCGGAGGATATTAAGGACGTCGGTGTGTCGTGATTTCCCCACAGGGTTTGGGAGGATGTCAGGGTGGTCCGACGTCGTTCTTCTTCTCATTTTCTCCACTTCCACCACCTGGTTTGTTGGTCGATGTGCGGCGCAAGCGAAATGTTCAGATTCCGAATTCCTTGGGTTTGGGGATTCACCCAGTTTGTGAAAATCCAAAAGCATTCCTGAGCAAAACCAGGACCACCATGAAATTCTGCACCTCCTTCGTGGGGCCCCTCACGGGGTGTCGCCAGCTGTTCGAAAGCTAGCGCGCGCACTCTCAGGGGTGGCTTCCTCACTCACTGTCGCTCGGTAGATCGAATCGCCCGTCTCGTCGACCTTCCGTTCGTCTCAGATCCGGGCTTCGTTCGGCCTAGCCCCTTAGAGGTTCAGGGGTGTCCCCCTAGGGCTCCTGGCCCACCTCCTGAGAAGGTGGTTGGGGTGGGTTTGGGGGGTCCAGCCACCTTCTGACAATATGGTTGGAGCCCTAGGGTCCCTTCACTACCCCTTAGGGGGCCCTGACTGAGCGCGGCCTCGTTTGGTTCCGGTCGTCGGATCCCGAGGGAGACCGGTCGTCGGGTCGTCCGAGGGTCTGTCATCTCACAACAGCAAGGTGCACAGCAACGAGAAATCGCCTGCGCACCGATCTCGACGACGCACAGGTCGATCGGGTCGGTCCTGTTCATGTACGTACACGTAACTGGAAGACGATCCCATGGAACCGGCCACAACCCCTGGTTGGTAGAGGAAACTAGTCTTCCATGGGACCCTTGTCATTGTCTATGTTAGTTTTCGGGAGTGTATTTCCTAGACGGTTGATATAGTTCAACCCCCAGGCCTGAAGAGATTTATTTCAATCCATGCCCTAGTTGTTGATCAACATTCTAGATTACACCTCCCTGAGCCCTCATCATGGGACGGCATGGCCACAAAAGGACAACCATTGTCCGAACACCAAACAGGTGGCTTTCCACTTGAATAATCGTTTCAGGGAGTGTAGGCGGCCAAGTCTTTCGAAAGGCCGGCGCGTGCCGGTGCCGAATCAATCACCCATCACTTTCTTTAAGGCGAATCTGTCCAACACAAAGGCCCAGCCAAAATTGTTTTGGATTTTTGCAATATCAATCAAATCATCAGATCATATCAACTCACTTGCAAGAAGCCATGTCCACATCTTGCCTGGTTGATTTTGGACCTGAAAGCTTAATAGTGGGCAGAAGTATTGGTGGAGCACTGCATACTGGGTTGCTAGATTCAGATAATTTGTATGAACATGGGGTTAAACTGATGCTTTAAGGCTAGCAACGAAGAGTTTTGAAGACAACCCGTTTGGACAAGAATTTTCCTCGGCGTTCCAGTGGTTCATGAGGGTTCATGATTCTCTTCTGCAAATATATTCCGCTCAGATTTGTGTTGGTCTGGACCGGAGAAGTGTCCTCCAAAATCGGAACAAAAGGAGTTCTCCACTCATGGATGCACAAACCACTTCCATGTTTGCTGAAAAGTGGGACATGTCAATTCCTTTAGGGAACTTTATCTCAGAATCCTCCTGCTCCGGCGAGAATTTTTGCTTTCCGTTACAAGATCCAGGCAGCATAGGACATGTTAGTGAGCTGCTTAGGCGGCTGGGGAAAAGGGGTGTGATCGGCTTTGAGGTGGGCTTTATCTCTCTGTCTTTTTAACGGGGCGGTTTCGTGCACCAACCTACCCTCTCTATTTAGAGTACAAGCTCGGCTCATGCCTTACTTGTTTGTACACGTGGAGGGCCTCAAATTCCCTGCCAGAATGACTGAACATGATTGAACCAAACGGGCTGTCGACCAGTCTTGTTGACCGTAACTGATACCAAACCATCTGTTCAAACCGTCTGTACCTGTAGCTCGCCAGTTCCACTGAGCAAGTCAGCAAGTCATTCCTCACAAAGATCCGAGCTGCAGTGATCCACATCAAGACGTTGGCAACGTAACCGAACCAGAAGACCATCGAGGCCCACAAGACCCATGAATCCTAGGCAGCATGCGGCGACATGCGGCATCGTTGTGCACGGTGGTCGGCCAGTTTCTTTTACACCAAATGGGTGGTCCAATGCTGGTCCTGTTAAACATCTACAGATATCGACAGTATATCTATCTAACTACTTGCTTTCAGTATCTCAGTATCTTCAAGGGCACCAAACAATACCAAACCAAACCGAGCCAACCTGTCCATCGAAAGTTTTGGTCATGGCTTAACTCACTCACTGCACATACCCCCGAGTCTCCTATAGTTTTACCCAGCTCTGGGGTCCTACTACCTTTGGCGCATGAGGGTGCGCACCAAAGCTCTTCTCTTCTAAGGAGCCACATGGAGGGCCTGGGTGGTGTGGCTTGTCCCATCCGTCGGGGCCGAGGATGTGATGTGGACAGGGGCACCGGGCACCTCCTTCCTCCGATCGGCACCGGCATCTCAACATCAGACTCCTGGTATAGTATGCCAGCTCCACGGATTTTGGGGTGTGGTGATGGGATGGAAAAGACCGGAAAAGGGAGGTGTCCACCAACCACCCGAACGGAGTTCGGGTGCCGGTCGTGTAGACTCTATCTTTCAATCCGTGCCAAACGCGACACCTGTGCCGTGCGGCTGTCGCCGAAAACGGCCCCGTTCGGGGGAATGGGGGCACGGTTTCACGTGCCCTGTCAGCTGGTGTCGTGCTCAAGGAGATGGAAAAACCATTGGAAAACCAGTTCCAATCGAAAACACCTCGGCCCTTGAAGAATGCACCAGGTGTTTTGCTAGGTGCTTTCGTGCCAGAGACAGCGTGGCAACCAATGAGGACTAACTTTTCCACATACCACATGTTGAAGTGTTTCTTCTCAAGATGGTGATTCGGGCGTATGGGGTGCACGAGAGTGCACATGATTGATCAAAGAAACCCTTGCACATGTTGAAGTATTCGGAATCCTCTCGACAGGATGTGTTGGATCCAGTTTGGATCTGGCAGGCGGTTTTTTTTGGAGTCCGCTCTGCGTGACGTGATTGCCCGCTCCCGCCGAACATCAAGGACTGTGACAGGCAGATTGAAGGATGACCGGGGGGGCTGCTGCAAGACTCCGAGCGCAAAACAAATATGACCCAAACACCCCATGTATCGTGTATATATGCCTATACATTGACCGCTGACGCCACCAAAATGTGGCATACATGGAGTGTTTGGGCAATTTTCCAGCTGACTGACACTGAACGCTGCGTTAGCATTGGTTCAGGTGCTCCCATGAAAACGGCCTCGTCTGCCGCGGAGTCATTCGAAGACACACTCGTCTGGGCGGTTTCTGCGAGCGGATTCCATTGCTCCACCTGACAATACCCAGACACTCCATGTATGCCATAGCCTACATTGGAGTGGTTTGGGGGGTCAATGTAGGCATAAATAGCATACATGGAGTGTCTGGGATACGTATGTCATATGCGTCGCTGTTAAAATGCTTCACAGAAACCCATCTGACTGAACTGACTCCAGTTCTGAACGGACCTTCCTTCTTAGTTCTTATACATCCCTAGAGCTCCAGTCGTGCCTCCTCAGAATGTATGACTGGACCTTCCTGGCACCCTGTCACACCTTCTAAGATCGTCTAAGAGGGTACTTGGAGCCCTAGGGCATATGACATACTCATGGGAAAGAGTGGCAAGCGACTCTGCCTCTGTCGAACCTGGGAGGATGGGGCCGGCCCCTGCCACCCCCTGCCATCGCCAATATGAGAATTCTTCAGGAAGTTCCACCTCCCAGATCCTCCCAGCGCTTCGTTCCACCACCTTCCCCGGTCCTTCAGTCGTCAAACATCGACCGACAGTGGGAAGGGCGTGGACAGAAGGGGCCATGGGTTTTGTATTGAAAAACACCAAATGCATCCATTGGTGCGGTTCTGCCCGGCTGCCCAGCAGCTGTTCTTTGCTATAGCTCCTTTGCTCGGATTTTTTTTTGAAAAAGAGGGCCTAGAGATGCGTAGAGCCGCCATGTG